AGAGAGAGAGAGAGAGAGAGAGAGAGAGAGAGAGAGAGAGAGAGAGAGAGAGAGAGAGAGCTATCAATTTTACAAATATAATTGATTAATTTTATAAATGTAATATCTATTAGAAAAGGTATTACATTTACAAAATAACTTGACATTTACAAAATAACTGATCAATATGTTGACGCAACACGCTGTACATATGGGTAGATTTTATTAGGATTGTGTCTAAACCAAACAGTTATTACTTCAACAAGTAGATCGAACAAAAAAAAATTTTGTCAAAGAAATGTGTCAATTTCATTTGAGTCGTTGTATAAGTTAGTTTATGAATGTCAGCATGAGTGCATTATCCATCGAAAAGTGTTTCTGATGAATATTTCTACAATAGAGGCAAAAAATATAGATGCATATCGTAGATTCCGTAGAGTAAATAGATCTAAAAAAAAATTTCAAGTAAAGAACACTTATAAAGGAAATAATTTAAATTTGGTTTTTATAAAACTTTTTGTATGATTTCAATATTTTGTATATGTAATTTTTACATTTTTTTATTTTCATTAAAACGATTTTTTTCGAATATATATAATACTTACCTAGTAGGGATCAACTTTAAAATTTAAAATGACTATTTTTTTTATATTTATTATTTTATTAAGTTGTGTATGCGTGTGGAAAGAGAAATAAAAAATATATTAATATTAAATACATTGAAATATATATATTTAATACAACATACTATATGTGTAGTATATATTATACTGTCGCGGATACAAAAGTTGCAACACTTTTCTTCGACGGTTTTCAGAATATACAAAAATTTTCAGAGTGCGGTCCACTATCTGTAGATGCATGTAACGAGCGGTTATGATAATTGTCAAAGTGATACGGAATCAAAATATACAAGATGAAATCAAGAAATATATCTTTAACGAAAAATACTTAGGATATCAATTGGATACAGCAAGATTCATTAGGTAAAATAAGAAAGTAAGCCTAATGGACAACTTTGTCTAATAAATTTCTTAACATTTTCCATGTGTTAAAAATTATTATATTATTATATTATAAAATAACATACATAATTTCACAGTGTTTGAATAACATAATTAAAATATTAATTAATTATTAGATTAACATAAAGTGTAATATT